GGGGCGGGGGGGGGGGCTGGTGGGCGGAGTCGCCCCGCTCGTCTGCCAAATGAATGAACGCGGGTTTGCGGCGCTTCATTCATTCCGCGAACTTGATGGCGCGTCCCCTGCAAGACGGGTCGGACCCCGGGGACTCTAGGGACCTCGGTCCCCGTCCGCCCAGAGATCCAGAGCCGGAGACAGACATTCAACGAGCCAATAAGTCGGCGAGGGCTCAGATGGGGTCGGGGCGCGGAGCAGATATGCACCAACAAGGCAATCGCAGGCAGCCTTCCTTAGAGATAAGGGTGGTCCTAGGGGGCTTCCTGGAGGAGGTGAGCCTAGACTTGATGGCGAGAAGCAGGCGTCCTGCCAAGACCGGGGAGAGGGGCCTCCCAGGTAGGAAAACCTCAGGGCAAAGGCAGGGACGTGTTTGTTGAACACAGGGTTTGGCTAGAACAGTCAGCTAGGGACCCCATTCTTTAAGGATCTCAAATGAGCGCTTTGGAAGGGTTTTTCTTTTTCTTTTTCTATTTTTTTTTTGGAGTCAGAGTCTCCCTCAGTCGTCCAGGCCGGAGTGCAGTGGCACAATCATAACTCACTGCGGTCTCCAACTCCTAGGCTCAAGTGATCCTCCCAGGCTGTAATCCCAGCTGGGATTACGGGCCACGGACCACCACCACGGCCGGCTAATTTTTTAATTTTTTGTAGAGACAGGGTGGGTCTCGCTGTGTTGCCCAAGCTGGTCTCGAACTCCTGGCCTCAAGCGATCCTCCCGCCTCGACCTCCCAAAGTGCTGGGATGACAGTCGTGAGCCACCGCGCTGGACCAGGAGAGTTTTGATGAGGGGAGCAGTGTGACCCGTGTACTGTGTTTTAGGTAATAACTCCGGTTTTGTGGCACCTCCTTGCTGGCACCCTTGATTTTTTTCTCACCCACCAGGTCTTTGTCGGCCCATTGCAATGAGGATGATCATCGTAATGATGATAATTAGGATTGTTTGGGCCTCAGGAAGGCAGGAATGTTGTCTGCCCTGTTTGCTGCTGGATTGTAGGCTCAGAGGCTCCGCACAGAGTAGCAGTCAGTAAACATTTACAGAACAAATTGACCGACCACAGGTTTTTCCAGTCCCGGTTCCTCCAGGAGAACTTTCCAACCGTTCCAGCCCCCGTGGATCTCCAACCTTCTGAGCTCCCAAAGCCCCGATTTCCCACGAGACTAAATACAGAGACTAAATACAGATCCGCAGTCCCTCTTTTTTGCAGTTGTGAAGTCCAGATTCTCTGTAAACAGAAAGATGTGCCTTGAGTTCGCAGCAAGTTCACTTGGCTGGCAAGTCTGACAGAGAGCCTTTTTCCTGCTCAGTGTATACTGGTGGCTTTCAGCTGGGTGATTCTGCCCCCCAGGGGACACTGGCAGCATCTGGGGACATCTGTGGTTGTCACAATTTGGGGAGGTGCACCTGGCATGGAGAGGGTGGAGGCCAGGGACGCCATTCACACCCTGCAGTGCCCGGGACAGTCCCCCCCGCAAAGGACGATCTGACCCCAATGTCTGCAGTGTTGGAGGGGAGAAACCCTGGCATACATTCTTGCATTTCACTGCAGAAAGAGTCATTTGGTGACAGGTGCTGCCCCAGCCTCCCAGATGTTACAAAACAAGTGGCATGTTTACTGCATTATTTCTCTAAAATAAGGGGAGATTCTGAGTATAGACCATCCTGGCCTCTAGTGCTTCTGGGTTGGGAACTGTGGTCTCAGGACAGTTGCTGCTTGCAAACATTCTCACGGTATCAGGACGCAGCCATTCAGCTCTTGTTTCTGCTTGAATTTGCAGTCTGTGCTCTGCACCCTGTGTTATTCCCACTTCACAGATGGGAGACCTGAGGTCTGGAGGGGTGGACATTTCTTGCCAGTATCCCACAGCCAGCAAGCGGCAGAGGTCGGGCTCAAGCCTGGGCAGGCAGATTTCACTCTCTGAATTCTGAAGCAGTGTGTTGTACCCATCCCCGCTTTTGTGGGTATCTGGTTGTTGGCCCTGGCCTCTTCCTGTGTGTGTCCCAGGCTCTACCTGGCGCTCAGGAGCCAATCCAGACCCTTCCTCATGGTCTACACCCGAGGCTGGCAGACTATGGCCTGCCCACGAGCTAAAAATGATTTCTGGATGGGAGAGACCATGGGTGGCCGTGAAACCTGGACTGTTTGGCCCTTGATAGAACCACTTGGTGCATCCCGGTCTACACTGTTGGGACTCTGCTGGGTCCTGCACGGTCAGGTGTTGCCAGGCACTTGTGCCCACTCCCGTGCCCGCGCCGACTCCTCCAGAAGCTGCCCTTCCTGCCTCTGGGCTGCGGGAACTCCCTTGCTAATTATCATCCTTTCCGTCCCTGGAGCTGTGGGACAGGCCCCTGATTATACTCCATGGCACCCTTGAAGCTCAGGCGGCCACACTGTCCTGAATTGCCGGTTGAGTTTGCAGATCGAGGCTGCGTGCCCCTGCCCGGCGGGGAGTGTGGAATCGGCAGGATGAAGGAGGGGCTGCTCTGGAACCCCACCGTGCCTCACCGTCCCTTCTGGGGCAGGTGGTCCCAGACACCCCCTCTTTGTGAACACTGAGGCTGCAGGCTGCTCTGGCTGGATTCATGCCTGGCATCTCTCCTTTGGGGTAGGGTGTCTTTAACAGCAAGATTTGGGCCAACCCGGGCTCGGTGGCTCAGCCTGTCATCCCGCGCCTTTGGGAGGCCGAGGTGAGTGGATTGCCTGAGCCCGTGGGTTCGAGACCCGCCTGGGCAGCGAGACCTCATCTCTACAATAAATCAAAAAATCAGCCGGGCGTGGTAGCGCGTGCCTGTAATTCCGGCTACTCGGAAGGCTGAGGCGGAAGGATCGCCGGAGCCCAGCAGGCGAGGCTGCGGTGGCCGGGAGCAGCCATTGCACTCCAGTCTGGGCAACAGAGTGAGACTCTGACTCAATAAAAAAAAAAAAGATTTGGGCCAGATCGTTCTCTGGGGGGGGCAACCCGGGCCCTGCAGGTGTTGAGCGGCATCCTTGGCCTCCACCCCCTCTGTGCCGGGAGCACCCCAGTCGTGATACCACACCTGTGCCCAGCCACTCCCCAGTGCCCCGGAGGAGGTTGGGGACAGAACCACCTCCTGCCCCAGAGGACTGGCCAGTCTTGGCTCCCCATGAGACCCCACGATGCCCTTTCTAGAAGGGACGTAGGCAGTTCTCCTCTCTCTACCCCCAGAGCGTTCGCCCCGATGCTGGACCTCATGCAGCCACACTCAGCCCTGGCTTCTGTCTTCTCTTTCCAGCGTGTGCCGGTGACGTCCTGGACGCGCCCTCCCCATGCTCCGTGGTGAACCACCTGCGGTGGGACCTGGGTGCCCAGCAGATCGAGGAGTGCACCCGGGAGCTCATCCAGCAGACCAAGTGTGTGTACGACCGGGTGGGCTCCCAGGCCTTCGAGGACGTATCCTACGAGAGCACACTCAAGGCGCTGGCCGACGTAGAGGTCACCTATACAGGTGAGCAGGCCAGGGGCTGGGCATGGGCCCAGGGAGGCTGCACAGCAGGTCGGGGCAGCCTGGGCTGGGAAACCGGTTCAGAGCCCGTCGCTGACTGTCTCGAGGAGCCTGACCTGGAGCCTAGGGCCGCACCACCTCGTCTTTGGGCGGTGGCAACGGGTGGACACACGGCCTGTGTAGGTGTCCGGCAGGGGCCATCCTCGGAGGCCTCCAGGAGAGGCCGGGCCCGCCCCGCGCTGTCCTACTTTGCCACCGAGCCGTTCAGAGTGGCCAGGGCCTGCGTCACCTGGGAGCCCGAGTCCAAGCAGCACCCCTTTCCCGTGCCCACTCGGGGGGCAGCCTCGACACCTGAGGCCCTTCTCTCCTCCCGTCCAGAGGGTCTTAGCTTTCTCTCTGGACAGCCGAGCTGGGCCCCTGGGGTCCCCTCCTCCCACCCGCCTCCTGGCCTCGCTGCGCAGCTGGCCTCCCTTCTTCTCCGTGGTTCCTCTGCTAGCTGAGCAGTAGACGGTCAGAGGGACCCACAGCCCTCCATGTTGTGACTGGTGGCTTTCACGCTGGCCCAGACACCCAGAGGGTCTCAGTGGAGAGCCCTGAGCAGGGACACTTTCAGCCTTCAACATGAGCAAAAGGCATCTTGTCTGGGGACCGTGAAGGATCTTTGCGTACAAGTCCAGGGCTTTCCATGTGTCCCCGAGGTGTCGCCAGGATGCGCTGGCCAACCTCGGCCTAAGCCGTCCAGAGGATTTACCGTTGCTGAGGGGTGGCCGGCATGCTGGGGCCAGGGTGAGGGCTGCCTCTCAGGCCTGCAGCCCCAGCTTTGAATCTTGGCTCTGCTTCTCCCCCATGTCGGCTTCGGGCAGGTGCCCAGCCCCGCCTCAGTTTTCCCCCCTTCCGCCAAGCGGTGGCTCCTTCCCGCCCTTGACTTTCTTGCGGGAGTCTCACAAGGCTCAGGTGACACTAATTCCATCTCCTCGAGGATGACTGTGCCAGGCGTCACTTAGTCTCCCCACCTCGCCTTCTGCTGTGGCCTTTTATTTCCTTCTCCACACAGCAGAAAGAGAAAATTTCTTTATTTTTATCTTTTCAAAAGTTCTTTTTTTAAGAGACAAGAACTACTCTGCTGCCCAAGCTGGTGGGCAGTAGTGCAATCATAGCTCACTGCAGCCTTAACCTCCTAGGCACAGACAGTTCTCCTGCCTCTGCCTCCTAAGTAGCTGGGACTACAGGTGTGTGCCACCACGCCCGGCTAATTTTTTACTTTTTGTAGAGACAAGGTCTCACTGTGTTGCCCAGGCTGGTCTCAAACTCCTGGCCTCAAGCAATCCTCTGGCCTCAGCCTCCCTAAGTGCTAGGATGACAGGCATGAGCCACCATGCCTGGCCAAAGCAATTTTAGGGAAAACTAAAATCAGTCCTGGCATTCCCCTTTTAAAGCCCCTCTCTGCCCTCAGGGTGACAGCTCTGTCCTTGGCATGGCCCTAGGTGCCCTATGCTGTCTGTGCCCAGCCACACGACCTGCCTGTACCTCCTGGAGCCTGGCATGCTCCCTCTGGTCTTCCCACCCGGTTCAGGATGCTCCTCGCCTTCTCTCTGCTGAATGTTGTGCTTTTCTCTGGTCTCAGACTAGGCCCACTTGGCCTGGGAGGCCCTCCTGTTCCGCTGTCTTGGGCCAGCTGCCTGGAGGAGCCCGTGCGCTTCCATCCTGACACGCGGTGCCACTGCCCTTGCTTGCTTACTCGCTGGTCTGAAGCCCCGCCCTGGCCCTTTCATCACGCCCAAAGGAAACTCTATACCCTTTAGTGCTCGCTCCCCACTCCCTCCCCAGCCCCTGGCACCCACAAATCCACGTCCCGTCCCTGTGGACTGGTCTGTTCTGGACATTGCGCCGAAATGGAGTCACGCACCGTGTGTCCTCCTGTGCCTGGGTCTCACTGAGCGTGACGTCCTCAAGGTCCCTCCACACCGTGGCCTGGTGTCAGGGCCTCCTTCCTGTTCGTGGCTGGGCCGTGTTCCGCGTGTGGATGGATCACAGCTTGTCAGTCCATTCGTCAGTTTATGTCACCTGCCTGGTTCCCACCTTTCGGTGGTTGTCAGTCATGCTGATGTGGGTGCGCGTGTGGACGTGTGTTCCTTCTGGCCAGATGCCCGGCAGTGGACTTGCAGGGTCACGGGGTGACTCATTTCAAAGCTTCCGCTCTTTGCTCATTTCAAAGCCATCAGCACATCCTCTACTTCACAGAAAGGGCAGAAACACTGTGGAAATTGCACAGTGGTTTGTGCACTTAAAACACAGCCAACACCAGCCGTGGCTGTCTTTCTAGAATGGAGTTCCATCAGCCTCTGTCTCGTCATGCCAGGTCTCCCTCGGCTTGAAGTGTCATGAGTTGGACCCGTTTGTTGGGACTGTGAGAGCCCCGAGGACACGGGCGACTGCTCCTTGGCTCTGTCCCAGTGCCCAGCCAAGCCTGGCATGGCGATCATCCACCATCCACGGCCTGGGTAGGGATGGCTTGCCAGGAGTACCCAGGCCTGTCATCATGCCTGTCTCCGCTGTCTCCTTCGTTTCAGTTCAGAGGAACATCCTTGACTTCCCCCAGCATGTCTCTCCCTCCAAGGACGTCCGGACGGCCAGCACGGAGGCCGACAAGAAGCTGTCTGAGTTTGACGTCGAGATGAGCATGCGGCAGGATGTGTACCAGAGGGTCGTGTGGCTCCAGGTGAGTGGGCCGGCGTCGCGTGGCCGGCGGGCACAGTGCAGGGCTGGGGGGAGGCGGCAGCCCAGCGGGGCTGGGGTCCTCTGACCAGGCGCCAGGGCTCAAGCGCTCAGGACGGGCACCCTGCGCTCCAGGTGCTAAGAGCTGTCGAGACGAGAACGCGCCGGAAGTGATAGTGGTGATGGTTGCACAGCCAGGTGGCCGTGCTCGAGGCCGTTGAATCCGATGCTTAGAATGGCTGAAGAGGTCAACAGAGCGTTGTGTGTATTTTATTGCCTTTTATTTTTCTAAATCATGAAAGTTGACAAAGGCAGGTGGAGAGAAACAACCGCGTAGAAAACACCTGAGCTCCCCGGTCCTCCCGCACACGCACTACCCAGCCATCCCGGGTGCTGCGTAAACATCCTGTCCCCACACGAGGTCCCCGTGACACGTGCCTCCCTGTCTGCCTCCCTGGACGCCCTCCCAGCACACCAGCGGGGTCTTTGCTGTTGCCTTGCGTAATCCAAAGAGGGCCCTGGAACAGTGTGTGTCCCTGCAACAGCAGGACAACACAGCCCTTGTGCTGCAATACAAACACAGGTCAGGGGTGCCTGGTTTTTTTTTTTTAATTGAGTCCTGGTCTCGCTCTGTCACCCAGGCTGGTGTGCAGTGGTGTGATTATAACTCACTGCACCCTTGAACTTTCAGGCTCAAGCAGTTCTCTTGCCTCGGCCTCCAAAGTAGCTGGGACTACAGGTGCACACCACACCAGGCTAATTTAAATAATTTTTGTGCAGAGATGAGATCTTGCTGTTGCCCAGGCTGGTCTTGAACTCCTGACCACCAACCATCCTCTTGTCTCAGCCTCCAAAAGCACTGGGATCCCAGGCATGAGCCACTGTGCCTGGGCTTAATTGAAATGTCTATTATGACAGTCATATGTTCACATGCAGTTTTAAGAAATAACAGAGTGCACCTTTGCACACTTGCCCAGTTTCCCTAGTGGTGACATTTTACAAAACTATAGTATAATCTCATACTCAGAGTACTGATTTTGGCAGGGTCTCACAAATCGTGTTCCTGCCTTCACTGTCGCCCTGGGAAGGAACTCATGTCAGCTGGGCCTCTTCTAAACAAAACAAGTGTTGGTGCACAGGTTTTGTGTGAACCCAGTTCACCATTTCTCTGAACGCCCAGGGGATCAGTTGCTGAACCATATGGTAGTTGGGGGCTGGGTGCAGTGGCACACACCTGTACTTCCAGCACTTTGGGAGGCTGAGACAGGAAGATTACTTGAGCCCAGGCGTTTGAGACCAGCCTGGGTAACATGGCGAGACGTCGCCTCTACAAAAAATTTTAAAAATTAGCTGGGCATGGTGGCACACACCTGTAGTCCCAGCTACTCAGGAGGCTGAGGGGGAAGGATCACCTGAGCCCAGGAGGTCAAGGCTGCCATGAGCCATGATTGTGCCACTGACTCCCCAGCCTGGACAACGGAGTGAGACCCCCCTACTCAAGAAAGAAAAAATTATATGGTATGATAATTTTTTTTTTGAGTTGAAGTCTTGCTCTGTCGCCCAGGCTGGAGTCTCGCTCTGTCGCCCAGGCTGGAGTGCGGTGGCATGCTCACGGCCACCCCAGCGTCGACCTGCTGGACTCCGGCGATCCTTCTACCTCAGCCTTGCAAGTAGCTGGAACCATAGGCATGCGCTATCATGCCTGGCTAATTTTTGATTTATTGTAGAGACCAGATCTCACCAAGTTGCCTGGGCTGGTCTCAAACTAGCGGGCTCAGGCAATCCACTTGCCTTGGCTTCCCAAAGTGCTGGGATTACAGGCTGAGCCACCGAGCCTGGTGAATGATGTATTTTTTTAAGAAAATATTCTTTAGGCCGGGTGCAGTGGCTCATGCCTATAATCCCAGGACTTTGGGAGACTGAGGTGAGAGGATTGCCTGAGCCCATGGGTTCAAGACCAGCCTGGGCAACTTGGTCAGACCTCCTCTCTACAATAAATAAAAAAATTAGCTGGACATGGTGGTGCATGCCTGTAGTTCCAGCTACCTAGAAGACTGAGATGGAAGGATCGCCTGAACCCAGCAGGTAGAGGCTGCGTTGACCGGGAGCGTGACTCTGCATTCTAGCTTGGGTGTCAGTGAGACTCCAACTCAAAAAATATATGTGTGTGTGTGTGCGTGTGTGTGTGTGTGTGTATTCTTTATTACTTAATTTGTAATTTTAGCTTAGCTTGTTTTTTTTGAGTCAGGGTCTTGCTTTGTGGCCCAGGCTGGAGTGCAAATTCATAGTCACGGCTCACTGCAACCTTGAACACCTGTGCTCAACCGATCCTCCCATCTCGGCCTCCCAAAGTGCTGGCACTACAGGCACGTGGCACTATGCCTAGCTCATTTTTTAAATTGTTTGTAGATTTGAGTCCTTGCAGTATTGCCCAGGCGGCCTTGAACTCCTGGCCTCAAGCAATTCTTTTGCCTAGGTCTCCCAAAGTGCTGTGATTACAGCCATGAGCCTGGCCAGGGTGACCAAGTTTTAAAGAAGCTTGTGGCTCTCTGGAGCAGCTGTGCATGTCCCGTGCCCACGGGGACCTCTGAGGGATCCGTTTCTCTACACCGTGGCCAGCGTTTGGCACCGTCCCTGCCTTCCGCATGCAGTGTCGCTGTTTGCTTTTTACAGGAGAAGGTGCAGAAGGACTCGCTGAGGCCCGAGGCTGCACGCTACCTGGAGCGACTGCTCAAACTGGGCCGGAGGAACGGGCTGCACCTCCCCCAGGAGACACAAGAGGTGAGCACTGGGCCAGGTCTTCGTGGGTGGGCTCCCTGGTCCCCACCTCGGGAGCACGCTTTGTTCAGGGCCGAGCCCTGGCCCACTGTCCGTCTCTCTGCTGCCCGAGGACCTGAACTTGGGAAGGCAGGTCTGTCTGAAGTGGGCTACTCTTGGGTCAGAGGGTGCTTCCAAGCCACAGGGCTCCCTCAGCCTTTTCACCCGGTGGGTCCGTCCTCCCTATGGCTTCCCGTGATGTGTCTCCCATTTTCCAGCCAGTAACCGGGGCTGGGGGAGGGTGAGGCCCCCCCCGGGTCCCATGTTAGTAAGTGATGGTGTCGTGTCCGGGCTTGTTACCCACTCCCGCTCCTCTGTATCGTGCCAGGCGGCCCAAGTTCCCAACAGTCGCACACCCTTGGCCCCATGTCCCCAGGGCCTGGACCTTCTGGAAGGCCGTGCTCTGCATGTTCTGTTTTATCAAGGCAGGCCTCTGGCCAGGCCCGTGTTTCCTGTCTCTTGCCCCGGTCATGGCCCCCAGGAAACCAGGGCGAGGGAGGGACTGGCAGGTGGCTGAGGCTGTCTCTCCTGAGACGTGGGGCTGCCGGGTCTCTGACAGCACAGGCAGGCTGGCGCCTGTCTCTGCCTCTGGTAAGCTGTGAGACCCGGTCATGCCGGGCCTGGCTCCCTGCTCCTCACCAGTGAGCACAGAGGGTCAGAGCGCCAGCTCAGAGCCTTGGCTCACCTGCCCGGTGGGAGGGTCCCCATGGCCTCTGGACAGGTGGCACAAGGGATGGAGGCCACACAGCCTCTTTATGAGGATCGGGGGCCCGGTGAGGGAACCGCTGTGTCCTCTACCCACCGCTGGCCGTCCCTGGCGTGGGTTGGTGTGAGAACCGCCCCGTTGTCTCAAGGGTCATGTGAGTTCATCTGCTTGGCACTTGGAACACAGCACAGGTGTCAGTTGTGGCCTGTTTGGAAACCGACGCTTTGTGAGGCCAACAGCAGGGGAGATGTCGGTCATAGTTCCCAAGAAGAGGGTGTGGGCCATGTGGGTGTGGGAGGAACCAGGGGTCAGGAGACGAGCTCTGGGCAGGAGCCTTCACCGTGTCCTGTGAGCAGAAGTGGGCAAAGCAGGGGAGTGGGCTTAGGACCAGTGGCTGAACCGTTTCAGCAGGTCCTGTGTAGGGGCCCCACATCTCATCCTGAGTCGAGGAGCAGAAAATAAAAGACACGATAAACACAGGTCCCAGGCCTGTAGCCAGAGCCCTGAGGCTGTCACTGTTAAGACACTGGTAAAAGTGGAATTAAATTCCGTCTCAGTACTGTGGGGCTCACATGTCCAAAGACGGATCCTGGCGCAGGTCAGTGGTGGGGTCTCCATTCAGCCGTGGCTGGCAAGAATCACAGCCATTTTTATTTTATTTTATTTATTTTTTATTTTTTTATTTTTTGAGTTGGAGTCTCACTCTGTCACCCAGACTGGAGTGCAGTGGCCACTCCCGGCCATCGCGGCCTTGACCTGCTGGGCTCCGGCGATCCTTCCGCCTCCGCCTTCTGAGTAGCCAGAATTACAGGCAAGCGCTACCACGCCCGGCTGATTTTTTTTGATTTATTGTAGAGGTGAGGTCTCGCCAAGTTGCACAGGTGGGTCTCGAACCCGCGAGCTGAGGCAATCCGCTCACCTCAGCCTCCCAAAGGCGCGGGATTATAGGCTGAGCCACCGAGCCTGGCTTCACAGTCATTTTTAAAACACCCTTGGCTCATTGCAAGCCCAGCACACTGGGTTGTGTGCGCTGTAGAAACCACACAAACTGTCCCTTGAGGACTGGCCTCAAGGGAGCAGAGGCAGCCCCATGTGGTAGGGGAGGAGCCCCAGGTAAGGCGTTTGGCCCAGACCCCAGCGCCCAGAGATTCTAGCATGTTCACCCATGTTCTTAGGGCTGCTGATTTTTTTGCTTTTTTACTTTATTTGTTTGTTTTTGAGTTGGAATCTCACTCCATCACCCAGGCTGGAGGGCAGTGGCACGCTCACGGCCACCCCAGTGTCGACCTACTAGGCTCCAGCGATCTTTCCACCTCAGCCTTCCAAGTAGCCAGAACTATAGGCGTGCGCTACCACGCCCGGCTAATTTATTTTTATTTTATTGTAGAGACGAGGTCTCGCTAAGTTGACCGGGCTGGTCTCGAACTCATGGGCTCAGGCAATCCACGTGCCTTGGCCTCCTAACGTCCTGGGATTACAGGCTGAGCCACCAAGCCCAG